ACCCGACTCAACCATGAATAACCCAAGTCGCATCTACATTACGCATGGACGTCACGTCGTTTTATAAATTGTGGACGCCAAAACACGCACTAAATCGATTTCAACCTCGGGGATCATGCAACTAGTTTTCCTAGGAGTCATTGGATCGTGTTGATCTCAACCGTTGATCCCCGGATACACTGGCTATAAATATGGGCCAAGGGGCTCATTTTCCTCGCCGCAAGTCCGCTAATCCGCAATCTTTGAGGTCGCGTTCAAGTCTTTTCGAGATCGCTCTCCTTTCTTCGGTCTTCCTTTTGGTGAGTCTTCCTTTGCTTTTTCTTTTCGATTTTGTGTCTTTTCAGCATGTCTAGTTTTAGTTTCGATAGTCTCTTAGACTGGAGTGGTGAATCCGCTGGAGTCGAGGTGGGTACCTCGGCTCAGGTCATAGATCCTCGTCCTATCGAGGAGGTTACTTCGGGCCAGGATACGGTCCACGGTCCTCTCGAGGTGAACTCACCTCGGTGGGAGCAAGAGGTCTCAGGTAACCTGGCTTCCACCTGACATCGAGGTCGGCTGCTAGATAACTTCGGCCCATCAACAATGACAGCGGACAGTCTCCTAACCCTAGTAGCTTAGTACAAACTTCCCAACAACTTTGTATATAGCATCCACTTAGGTAACTTCCCTTGGGATCACGGTCACGACGAGATCATGATCTTCGAGGAGCAGCTCGCAGCTGGTCTTCGCCTTCCACTTCACCCTCTCATAGTCGAGATCATAAAATTGTTCAATATCACCATAGATCGGTTACACCCAAACTCTATCCGTAACGTCATAGGGACCATTTCACTTTTCCATGATTACAATCTTCCCCTTGACCTCGACGTTTTTTCTTCTATCCTTTCCATAAAGAAGAATTTCCATGATTACAATCTTCCCCTTCACCTCGTCCAGACTTCAAACTTTTGCACGCTTTTGCACGACCTCCCTAATAAGGTCCCGGCATGGAAGATGCATTATTTCATGGTCCGCAACACTGAGGGGTGGCCTTTCCCGACTCATTGGAGGGCAGCCATCCAGGACCCCAGTGTTAGGTTGGACCTGAAGACAACGGAGGCGCTTCGATATTGGGCAGAGCTTGACTTGAAGTTCGAAGACTTCGTGACCGAGGAGAAGCTCGTGCAGGCTGGTCTGAGTCCTGGTAGGTCGTTGTTTGTTGTGTTTTCTCTTTGTTTTACTTCGGTACTATATCTGGCAACTCGTTTTTTGTTGCAGCTATCATGGACATCCCTGCCAACGAACTCTTCGGGAGCATGAAGAAGGGGAAGAAGAAGAAAGCCACCAAGAAGGCTCGCATTGAGCCCCCACCAGCTGCCATTCTAGAGCCCGAGCAACCGTCAATTGCCGATCAGCCTCCTGTAATAGATTTGGTCGAAGAGGTCTCGGGTAAGCCCTCCCCATCCCGTGTGCCCGAGGAGGCTACGTCTTTGGAGCCCATCCCGGCAGCCACCGCTTCTTCGGGCAACGACGACGCAGTTYAGAGTATCTTGTCTCCGAAATTCGACCTTCTCAAGAGCAAGGGTGCAGTATTTGCTGAGGAGGTTGCTATTTGGGTTGAGCTGCCAGTTGCTCAGCTCGGAGCCCAAGCGGCTACTCACTACATGGTGGTAAGTTCTCCGACTTGTCTTCTTCAATCTGTCTTGTACTTGGATTTTTGTATACTGACACTTGTTTTCTTCTCTTGGCATGTGAATTCCACCATCCACGCCTTGGCTTATCAGTCTGAGGTGAACTTGAAGCGGGCCCTTAGAGCCGAGGAGTCTTCCCAGAAGGCTCACGCCAAGTTGAACTTATCCCGCAACGAATATAACCAGTTGAAGAACGATGCATGGGCTAAGAAGGAGTTGCTCACTTTGCTAATGTCGGAGAAGGAGCTCGAGGAGCGTGAGGCGGCATTGAAGAGGGAGGTGGAGAACCTCAAGGCCCATGTGAAGGAACGAACCGAGCTGCTTCTTCAAGCAATAGAGGCCAAGGCTAAGGTTATCGAGGAGTACAAGTCCTCAGCGGAGTATTGGAAAGAGATGGTCGAGGTAGGGACGGCAAGCTACCACAAAGGGTTCAAACTTAGCAAGTGGCTGACCCGACGTGAGTTTCTCCAGCTCGACCTCAGTGTCATAACTACTTCAAGGATCACAGAGGAGATGGTCGTCAAAGCTGCCCAAGATCCGGACTCTGAAGCAGAAAGTGACGGCGACCTGCTCGATGAAGATGAGGAGACCGATGCTGGCGAGAGCCGCATGGAGACGGATCCTCCTGCTGAAGCTTCCAGCAAGGATAAGGAGCCTCGAAGTGACTAGATACCTCTTTTCTTGSACCCCCTTCTGTAATACACCGAGCTCAGTCTATTGTAAAAATTTTCTTTTTTTTTGTATCCGAAATTCCATATCAATGAAATACAAATGTTTTTGCAATATTTGTGTACAAAAGTTTCTTTTTTCTTCTAAGTGTAAATAACTCCCGAACTGACGAACTAAACCAAATAGGAGTAGATTTTTTTTGTGTAGGTTACCCCGAATTGTCGAGCTAACGAGCTGGACTCCAAGTAGAGATAACTTTGTATCATTGTACGCCGAGGTGAGCGGACATTGTAGGGTATATACCCGACTTGTCTGCACACGGGCTACTCATTTAGGTGTTGGTTATCACTTAGTGTTGAATCATCGGGCCTGACTTTAAATGGGATTAACCTGTTGTTATATGCTGAGGTGGGCTAGACGTCGTAGGGTTTGTACTCGAACTATCTATGCCTTAGGCATGAGAACTGGTCTGCCTATGCCGAAGAGGCGAATAGGACTTGTCCGCCTATGCCGAAGAGGCGACTAAGACTTGTCCACCTATGTTGAAGAGACGACTAGGACTTATCTGCCTATGCCGAGGAGGCAACTAGGGCTTATCGTAGTGCTGAGGTCTTATGCCAGCTCGGCACCATGGCCCTTAGGCTTCTGGGAGTGACTCRCAGTCCTCTCTCCAGTTCGGTGGTTATAAGTAGTACCTTCTCAGGTTGTCGATATTCCATACTATGTTTTTCCAAAAGAAATTTTGTATGTAGCGGACTGTGATCGTTACCAAAGGTTCAGATTCCACCCACTTCGTAAAGTAGTCTACAACTATGACCAAGAACTTCCTTTGTTCTGTCACTGGTGGGAAAGGGCCAAGGATGTCAATTCCCCACTGTGCGAAGGGCCATGGGCTAGTGAGGTATTTCAGATCAGCAGCAGGTCGATGGTGGATGTTTGTGTGCCTTTGACACCTGTCGCACTTCTTGATGAGCTCGAGTGCATCTGCCCCCATCATGGGCCAGTAATAGCGTTGCCGCAACGCTTTCTGTGCGAGAGCTCTGCCCCYCAAGTGTCCACCGCACAAGCCTTCATGGGTGTCGCGGAGTACATGCTCGACCTCTAAAGGTTGCAAGCAGCGCAAGTAGAGGAGCGTGAACGAGTGGGTCTCGTGAAGCAGATAACTTACGAGTGGGTCGATCTAGCTCGGTTATGCTTGTCATACGAGAGTGACCTCTTCTACCCCCCCCCCCTCGAGAATGCTAGGCATAGGTAACTCCTCTATGTACATGGTCTGCATGGTGTTACTAGTGCTGGCTAATTGGGATAAGGCATTGGCCTCAGCATTCTCGGACCTCGGAATCCGTCTGATGAAGTAGGAGACGAATCAGCGTAGGATCTCTCTAACTTTGGCCAAGTAAGCAACCATAGTGGGGTCACAGGCTTTGTACTCACCGGTGACTTATTTGACTACTAGTTGTAAGTCGTTGCATATGACGAGGTGTTTTGCCTTCATTTCCCTTGCTAGGGTTAACCCGGCGACCAATGCTTCGTACTCTGCCTCATTATTTGATGTCGCGAATCCAAACTGGAGGGTGTATTCCATCTTCACCTCACTTGGGTCGTACAGAATCAGTCCTACACCACTTCCCTRCTGGTTGGACGAGCCGTCAACATGGATAATCCAGGGCTCCTCGTCATAGGTCGATCCTACTACATCCGGGACTAGTTCCGCGCTGGTTGAAGCTTCCATCATGTGTTCAAGCTCGGCCAACTCAGGGGTCGCAGTACTGAACGTGCATTCTGCTACAAAATCAGCCAAGGCTTGGGCTTTGATTTCCGTCCGAGGTTCATACCGGATATCGTACTCACTTAGTTGGATAGACCACTTTGTCATTTTGCCAGACACCTCGGGTTTGAGCAAAATCTGCCTCAGAGGTTTACTGGTGAGGACGACGATAGTGTGGGCCTGGAAATATGGGCGAAACTTGCGAGCTGCTATGATTAGCGCATACGCTAATTTCTCAATCTCCGGGCACCTAGTTTCTGCATCCTGCAAAATTTTACTAATATAGTAGATGGGTCATTGGACCCGATCTACTTCTTTGATTAGTACCGAGCTAACCACCTCGTCGTTCGCAGAGAGGTACAGCTTTAATACATCCCCTTCCTTGGGTCGAGTTAAAACTGGGGTGGTACCTAAGTATCTTTTCAGCTCGTCGAAGGCGAGTTGACATTCTGCAATCCACTCGAAGTCCTTATTCTTTTTTATTGCTTTGAAAAAGGGTAGGCAGCAATCTGCCAATTTGGACATGAAGCGACTCAGTGCGGCTATCYGGCTAGTCAACCTCTGAACCTCTTTTATTTTGTGGGGTGGTCTCATATCTAGGATGACTTTTATTTTATCTGGGTTGGCTTCGAAGCCATGTCGTTTGACTATATAGCCTAGGAATTTTCCCGAKGTGACTCCGAAGACGCACTTGTTTAGATTTAACTTCATGTTATATTTTCACAAAATTTGAAAAACACTTTGTAAATCATTCAACAAGAAATTCGAAAACTGGGTATTCATGACCATGTCATCAACATAACACTCTATTTTATTGCCGATTAACGGCTCAAAAATTTTATTTACAAGGCGTTGAAAGGTTGCCCCGGCATTTTTTAGTCCAAAGGGCATGACCTTGTAATAGTACATCCCGAACTCAGTTATAAAAGCAGTTTTCTCTTCATCGGCAGGGTCCATCCTATTTTGGTTGTAACCGGAATAGGCATCCAGGAAGCTCAGCAACTCATGCCCTGAGGTTGCATCCACTAGGCGGTCAATCTTGGGTAGAAGGAAGCAATATTTCAGGTAGGCTCTATTCAGGTTGGTGTAATCRACGCACATGCACCACTTGCCATTGGCCTTTTTTACCAGAACTGGGTTAGCCACCCAGCTCGAGTAATGGACTTCTCTGATTTAGTTTGCCGCTAGGATCTTCCCGACCTCTTCATCAACTACCCTCCAACGTTCCGAGGTGAGGTTGCGCTTCTTCTGTCTTACTGGCCTGACTAAGGGGTCGGTATTCAATTTGTGAGTTAGAATCTTGAAGTCTATTCTAGGCATTTCTGCCGCGGACCAAGCAAAAATATCCAAGTTTTTGAGTAAGAAACTTACTAGTTGGAAGCGGAGTGGTTCATTGATCGAGGCCCCGATCTGGAGAGTCTTGGTCGGGTCATCAGCTAAGACCGGGATGTGGACCATCTCCTCTGTCGGGCAGCTCTCTCGTCAGCATATTCCGCTGACTGCTCAAGCTCGACATCATCCGCTGGCTTCGCTTTCCCTTTGAGAGCAACTACATAGCATTTACGAGATTCGAACTGATCACCTCGCATAACTCCTACTCCATGGTTAGTTGAAAACTTCATCGCCAGATATTAGGTGGATACTATTGCACGTAGGACGTGCGTAATGGATCGACCTACTATGGCATTATAAGGAGAGAGAGTCGCGACCACCAAAAATTAGGGCTGTCAATTGGACTAGATTTGGTCCAATCTGATCCAGTCCAACATTGGTCAATTTACAAATGGACTGGACCGATTCCGGTCCAAACCCCATACAAACCAGATTCAATCCAATCCAATTGAAATGCAAATGGACCAGATTGGACCCAATCCAATCCAAATTAAATGAAACTTTATAAATTAAATGAAACACGAATTTTCTTCTCATGACATTACAACTTCACTCAAATGCCCTCATTTTCTTATCCTTTCCCAACATTTTGAGGTGGTCATTGGGCATATTAAAGATTAAATGAAAGGTCTTCCGGCATATTAAAGATTGAAAAACAATTCATTTTGAGGTGGTCACTGGGCATCACTCCCCAAATGGAAGCATGGGATTGACCCTACAAAATTGCAAGCTCTCCATGGTATGGCCGGTGGACCTAATGTGCACCCTACAATATCCCCACTTGAGTTCTTGCTAACACTAACCTGCTAGTTACAGGTCTAGCAATAYCCCCAATGGGGGCCAAAGCCACATTATAGATCCAAAAACAAGTAAAATGAAATTTGTTAATGAATGATATGATGAGGAGAACCCTTTAATGGAAAGCAAACTTCTTATAGGAAGGAACAAAAAGATCCAAAATGTTGTCAATGGGAAGCATGAAGCAAGGGCCAATAATCTGCTCCAGGGAATGACTGATCAATTTATTGACTCCAGATGCAGAATGGAATTTGAAAACACTAAATGAAAAACTGTAAATCATAATATAATGAAAATGTTCGAACAATTAAAACTAAACATTATCCCAGATAAATGCCATCCACCACATGAATCCTATTTTGCTATTCTACTTTACCAAGGGCCATACATTTGGTAAGTTCTGAATCATAAGAATGCATGATACATGCATATGAATAATTGATGTATGGTTATGTGAATGTAGTTTTGGTGGACACTACACACTATCATTCAAAAAGATAACAAAAACTGAAATTTGATAGTAACTAGTGGTAATTAAAAAACACTTAAATAGATACATATGCTGATTTAGAATCAATTTCAACGAGTAGAAGATGATTGTGAATTACTTCACTGAGAAAATTCTCCTTTCTGAATCAGCAAACAATGAGTTACACTATTCCAGTTTTGGTTACAACTAAAATGATGAAGGGAAACAAAATGTTTTCCTCCGAAAATAATACTCAATAAGGAATTAATTATTTCCCTAATTCCTCGGAAAATAAACAAAATGGTTCCCATCTCCATCTGCAATCAAACACCAAAAAAATATCATTTCCTAAAGAAATTGTTCATATTAGCATGACCATATTCCTAGTGCAACACTTGGTGGACTTCACCAACTTAGCCATTTGATCAAGTACCATCAAGAGGATGGATGAACAAATGCAACCAGAGAATAAAAATTCTGAAACCACATAAACCGTTCTCCAAACCACCCGAAAGAAGTTGATGTAATATTTTCCATATAAAGGAATTCTTACGGCATGTTCCGATGTTATGGATCCATTTGCCAGCCAGTGGGTGATGCATTGTTTTCCACAAACCTGAATAGAGGTTGAGAAAATACCTGAGAATAGCAGATTTGTTAGGTTACAAACATGCATTATAGAACAAATTAATGTAGCTTTCAAAGTTAAAACAAGAGTGTGATCTAATGAGCTTTCTGATTGATTTTACTTGACTTCTGATCCAGTTTCTGATAAATGGTCTTTTGCTTTCTCTTACTTGGCCCAGGTAGTGAGGTAGGAAAAAAGTTTTCACCTTTGGGCTGTGATTGTCCAACCCCTTAAATATGATAAAATTGCGGCATCTAGCTGCTCCAGAAAGCAGAAAAATAAAAAAGGTGTTGATTCACTAACTTTCCTTCAATTAGACACATCAGAAAAGGGTAGAAACAATTCACTGTTTGTAGAGTTGTCTATAAGGCAATATTGAGAACAGAATTCCTAATGGTTATTCAGTAAAGAACATTGGAAGGCAATGAAATGGAATTTGCACCATAGCAAGGGTAAAGACAGAAAGAACAAAAAATCACTGTTCGACTTGAGGCTACACAACAAGGCTAGAAGCACGAATACCAATCACAGGGGAAGAAGGGATGGATATTGGTCAGAATTTTTCTCATGAGATAAATGTTATCAAGCTATGCTCAGAGAGACATTAAATTGTGAACAGATACCATGTATGAGAAATGGAAGACAAAGCATTCTAATGATACAGGAGACAAAGATGTAGCATATTAACTCCCCCACCATCCAATGTTTGGAGTCAAAAACCTTTTGATTGGTCCCATAAACCCACTCAGCCTCTCAAGCATGCCAGTGGTGCTGGTTGTTTGGGCCAGTAGCAAAGTAACTAATACTTTGCATACAGAAGCCATTTGGCATACAGAAAACTAAAACTTTAAACATTTAAGACAAGGCACACAGAAGCATATTTGTTATATTACTTCAGCTCATGCAGTTCTGTCACCTTATTTCAGATAATATGCATAGAAATTTTAACAAGAGAATCAAGATTTGTAAGCTCCACCACTCATAACAAGACTACAATACAAGTTTCAT